CTTGAAGAGATAGTTAGTCTGTGTTACAGTTTTGGGGGGTATTTCCAAGGAAAGGAACCGGCATGGTGTGGTGCCATGCCCGGCCCCCCCACTCAGTGTTATTTAGGGTACGCATATGCGTGTTCCAACCGACCCCCCCTTTTCAGCAAAAGTCCGGTGTGTAAAGTCAATACGGCTCGACCTTTTTCTTTTGTATACGAGCCTTTTTCCGCACCCCCCCTTTTCAGCAAAAGTCCGGTGTGTAAAGTCAATACGGCTCGACCTTTTTCTTTTGTTACGAAAAGGACATTTTGGCAACACGCATGCGGTCATTTTGAAACCTGAGTGGGGGGGCCGGGGTGCCATGCAACCCAGTGCATGATGAGACTTTTCTTCCCTCTTCTCAATGCCGAATTGTAAGTACATTTTTATACATCATTGTTATGGTCATTTAGAGAGGATAATGTGAAGTTGTTTTATTACCGAATGATATGTATTTTGTTTGGCTGAGTCCTTTAAAATATGGACATTTAAAGAGGATAGATATGAAGCTGTTTTATATCCGAATGATATGTATTTTGTGTGTGGCTGAGTCCTTTAAAATATGGACACTTTTGCTAATGTTGGAAACCGATGTACCGTAATACAAGTGGTATTGTGCATTTTCGTGTTAATTTTAGGGCCTATGCTATTAAGATTCCGGTCTTTTATTAATTTAGATGGCGGTCAACCAGATCAACGGGGCGCATCTCTAGCTTTCCACTGTTCAAGGCAATCACTCGCCGTCGCTACTGGTCAACACACGTTCGTCGTTGCAGTCGTCGCATATAGTTTCATCGAAGTATCAACGTTAAATGAACTCAGAGAAGACAAACATTTATTTAAGCTTCATTGAATGCCAGTATCCTATTTACAGATAATTATTATTTTGTAAACGACAATAATATGATGTGTTCTATTTGAGCAAGGATATTTGTAATATCCTCCTTGATATGAGTTACATTAAATGTTTCATTCAACCTATATTTCTGGAATCCTTTGGTAGTATTATTCAGGGTGGTTAAGTAGCCTATTCTAGATTAGTGAGCTAATACAAGCGAGCTATCGCACATGACATATACAAATTCCTCAAATTACATAGTTGCATTCATAATAACATTCTCAACAAAACGATTGAATAGATTGTATTTTTTAATTCAATTCTTGTCTATTGAGAAAAAGAACACACTAAGGTTTCTATTGAAAGGATTATTTAGTAAAGGCAATTTTTTTTAAAATTCCTTATGTATTCTTTATAGGGCTTCCAACCTGTTTGCATGGATAAGTCCTACTCCTACTTACACTGAAATTCATAATACCAATACATATATATTTGCTGTTAATGTATTGAAGGTATTCATGAATCTGGATTTCATATGCACAAGATCCCTAAGTCAGGAGGTTTGTTGCTATGGTTCAGTTTGGTAAATTCAAGCCTCTATAAAAAAATGGCTCTTAAAAAACTATATGACATATTTTTACTATCAATCAAACTTGGAAAAGGTTGAATTTTGATTATTAGTCAAACCAATGTCAATCTTAGACACACTTGAATTTCAACTGAATCAGTACATGTGTAGTTTGCTTTATTCCATGTTTCATAACTGTTCCAAAGGGTGATTGGAGAAAAAAAAATATATAACCTGGTTTATACATGTGAACCATATAACTATTACTGCTGTTTCTGTCGATCAACGAACCTCCATGACATTTACATTAGGACATACATACAGTACACGCCGAAAATCTCCGCAACACGATTACACGGTTTACACGATTCACCTGAATCGTGTAACTGTGTAATCGTGTAAATTTACACGATTGAAGAATGTCGCTCTGAATCGTGTAATCGTGTAAATAGTTAAGTGCATTGGTCGGGTGATTCGACCAGATGTAACAATCGTGTAACTGTGTAATCGTGTAAATTTACACGATTGAAGAATGTCGCTCTGAATCGTGTAATCGTGTAAATAGTTATTAGGGTTATAAGGGCATTGGTAGAACGATGCGACAAGCTGCAACAATCGTTAAATCTTATCCTGCTTACACCAATTGCTTTATACACAACTTACCTTCAGTGTACATCAGTTAATTACTGTACTTTATATTCGTGTATAAACCTCAGCACTTTCCACTAACATGTATCGTATACTAATCCGTGAAACAAGGTAGGAAAACGTCAGAAACAGGAAGACATGATAGATGAAATAGTAAAGGAAAAAAGATAGCTACGAGGAGAAGGGAACATATAAAAGGAAAATGAGGGTTGAAAGGCACGATAAACATAAACAGAAAAAAAGAGAGAAAAAAGGGAAAACTAAAAAGTTGACCGGAAGAAAAGAAAGAGTGAAATAGAGTGATAAAAAAAGAAGGGCGAAACCTAGTAAAATTAACAGAAATGAGAAGGCTATGAAACGGAGAGGAAAAGAGACAAATTAATAAGGTAAGAGGGGAACATAATGAGGGAAAGAGAGGCGAGAAAGATATGGGGGGTGGAAAGATATTGAAAGAAAGAGAGTGAGAGAGAGAGATAAAAAAAGCTTTAGTTGAAAGAAAAGGGGCACCGATCAGATTTTAATAGGGGCATTTATCGGAGTTGATGGGGGCATTTATCAAAAGTGAAGAGGGGCACTTCTCGTACTTAAAGAGGGATACTTACTAGAGATTAAAAGGACACTAATGAGAATGGAAAATGGACACTTATTGTAAAGGAAAAAAGGAACTCGTCGAAGGAAAAGGGGTGTGTGTCAAAAGAAAAGGAGCACTTATCAGAGTTGAAAAGGGGAAGGGGCACTTTTACAAATTAATAGGGACACTTGTCAAAGTAAAATAGGTAGTTTTCCTACATACAAAGGGGCACTTTGGGGGAACTTGAAAAAGTGGGGGGACACTGTGCCGCTAGCTAAACGTAACTCAAAGACAGTTGGCCATTCACTTATTCTATTCATTTTCGGCTTGCAACTGTTCCCTACACTCTGTAGCCAGTGGCTTACATACTTACGTACATGTAATACCTATTGTTCAGGGGGATCCTATGTTCAGGGGAACCCCCTGAACAATAGGTATTATGTAAGGATCTCTGCCTGTAGCTAGGGCAACGGCCTTTGTCCCCGGCGAGGGTCAATGGCAGGCCACATTCAGAGTAAGCTTCTTTTGTATGTGACAGGAAGTGTGCCCTTAAGCCTTGACCGTAGCTCTTTATACATATAGCTGAATAATGCAATGTTGTAAAAGGTAATTTACGAAAATGAGGAACGCTAAAAAAGCAATAAGTGATCAAAGTCTAAGGCCCGAATTCTTGGTTTTCGTGCGTCATATGACACGTTTTTACAAACCAGGTTTGTAAAATGGATAATGATTGAATAAAAAAAAGTAAAACGATATTCATAGTAACGAATGAGCTGGTGAACCGTAATTCTAATTGGTACAGCCTTGTAATGTAAGAGTATCACAACATACTTAATTATGTTAGCCCTCCTTTACATTTTGTAATCATTTTTACTTATTTACAACTTAGGAATAACAAAATTCCCCCCTTCCTTCGTCGTTCATCGCTTTTTTCTTTTTTCTCACCGAGGATTAAATCCGAGAGTGCTTTTCGGGAAGTGGACTGATTTTTTTAACTTTCAAACATTCTATAATAAAACTAGAGACAAGACACTGCAATTAAAAATATATACAAGAGAAAGAAAGCGTAATCTTCGCTATCCCCTCGTATCGTCCACGTTGTCCTCGTTCAACCAAGAAGTAACTTCTTGCTTTTACTGAACTAGACGTCCTTAACCTGCTCACCATCACCACTGAAAATAAATTGTAACACAATTCCAGCGAGCAATCGAATCGTGTAAATTTTGAATCGTGTAATCGTGTTGCGGAGATTTTCGGCGGGCAGATTACACGATTACACGATTCGACCTGAATTGAGGAATCGTGTAATTTTACACGATTACACGTTTACACGATTCAAATTTCGCTTCATTGGCAAAAAACGAATCGTGTAAAAATAAATGGTTACACGATTCCTGCGAGCAGTCGAATCGTGTAAATTTTGAATCGTGTAAATCGTGTTGCGGAGATTTTCGGCGTGTACTGTACCTGTATGGATGATGCCTTTGCTTTCAATGCAGAGTAGAACTCCCCATTGAGAACCCCTCGAAGTGTCAGGTTAGTCAGGTTTGGCATATAACACAGTGCTTCTACTAGATGTAATGAGGCTGGTGTGTGACAACGGAGATCATGAAGCTTGACAGTCCGGACCTGCATTGTTTGTCAATATATTTAAGCATCACGTCTATATTCATCCATATGTTTTACTCACTAATTTCTGACTGTATTCTAACATTTCACCCAAATTCCATTAATTACATAGTTGTATTCATAATAACATTCTCAACAAAAATGATTGAATAGATTTTATTTTTAAATTCAATGGGTAGTGACTTTGTTCACTACTTCAGGGCGTGACGACCCTGCCTGACACAAGTCCCGGGCTCAGCTGGCTCCGGCTGACAGTACCCGGTATGGGCCCCTGTCCAGGGTAACGGACATCCAGCTATGGAGAAATAGCTAGGGAGTAAACCTGACTGAAAACCGGAGTGGAGCCCCGCAGGCGGTCTGGTGTTCAACTCGACACACTCTTCCGGCAACTCCTGCAGCCAAATTGGTGCCAAATGTATTGCTCAGCTCTCCTTTGGACCACATCAGTAAGGCCGAGAGGGGGATTCTGACGATTGGGCTACCCAGGATCTCCATATAACCAGCCCAGGCTTGCGCTCTGGAGAGGACACTTCAGTGCTACTGTCAAAAGTGGCAGAAACAACACGGGAGGCAGCAGTTACGAGTTATAAGCCCTTTTCGATTGGCGTAGGATACGGGCGCTACGGGTTGCCTTCGACGGTGGGAGGGATCTTCGCATTCCACTGGTCAGCTACCGCCCACCTCAAGCTGGGCAGCCCCCGGTTAATTAGGTGCTGACCCGCCACATGCCGCCTGCTTCATCGGGTGCTTGGAGCTTAGAGGATTGTCTCGACAAGCGGACTGAAACTACTGCACCAAGCAATAAACAAAATACAAAGAAAACACCAGTCTTGCGTTTGGCAAGCTGGAACGTTAGGACCATGTGTCCTGGCATCACAGACAATCTACTTGAGGTTGATGACACCCGCAAAACAGCGATCATCGACCGTGAGCTAAAGAGGCTCAACATTGACATTGCTGCTTTGCAAGAGACAAGACTCTCTTCAGATGGCAGTATTAGAGAGGAAGACTACACTATATTTTGGCAGGGCAGAGAACCGCAGGAAAGGCGACAGCATGGTGTTGGATTTGCAGTAAGGAACTCCTTACTCTCCTCAATTGAACCACCAAGCAGAGGCACAGAACGCATCCTCTCACTTCGACTGCAAACCGCCTCAGGTCCAGTGAACATCCTGAGCTGTTACGCACCAACCCTCTGCAGCTCTGTGGAGACCAAGGATCAATTCTATGAGCACCTGGACTCTGTCATTGCGAACATTCCTGCCAACGAGAACCTATTCCTACTAGGAGATTTCAATGCACGGGTGGGCACGGATCATGACTCCTGGCCCAAATGCATCGGACACTTCGGCATTGGAAAACTGAACGAAAATGGTCAAAGATTGCTAGAAGTCTGCTCCTATCACGACCTATGCATTACGAACACATTCTTCTCCACAAAACCATGCCACAAGGTATCCTGGAGACATCCCAGGTCTCATCACTGGCACCAGCTTGACCTTGTTATTACACGAACTTCATCCTTAAACAGCGTCCAAGTCACCCGTAGTTACCACAGCGCTGATTGTGACACAGACCATTCACTGATTGCCAGCAGGGTGCGCCTTCAGCCCAGGCGAATACATCGCTCAAAGCAGAAAGGTCGCCCCCGCATAAACACTGCCAAGATATCAAATCCTGACTTGCATGATCTCTTCGCCGATTCCATCGAACAGGCCCTCCAGGACTGTCCTTCTACTAGTGCTGAAGAGAGATGGAATCACATTCGCGATGCTATCCATCACTCAGCCATGGAAATATATGGCAAAAGAGAAAAGCAAAACCCAGACTGGTTTGTAGCTGGAATCGCAGAATTGGAGCCTGTCATCGAAGCAAAGCGAGCAGCACTCACTAACTACAAGAGTGATCCATCTGTGAAGACACTCACAGCTCTACGAACAGCAAGGATGGATGCCAAACGGGTTGCTAGACGCTGTGCCAACGATTACTGGTTGAGCCTTTGCCAGAGCATCCAACTGGCTGCAGATAACGGCAACACCCAGGGCATGTACGCAGGCATAAAAAAGGTCTTTGGACCAACCATCAAGAAGACATTACAACTCAAAGCATCCACAGGGGAGGTTATCACAGACAAAGAGCTTCAAATGGAAAGATGGATTGAGCACTATCAAGAGCTGTACTCACGGGAGATTGAGGTCAATGAAGCTACCATTGAGAGTATTGAAAGCCTACCTGTCATGGAAGATCTTGATAGTGAACCATCCATAGAAGAGCTGAAAAAGGCTGTGAACTCCCTTTCCTCGGGTAAGGCCCCAGGAAAAGATGGCATACCCTCGGACATAATCAAAGTCGGAAAGGACACAGGTCTTCTACGCCATCTCTATGAGCTTCTCTGCCAATGCTGGAAAGAGGGAACGATTCCACATGATATGCGTGATGCTAACATCATTACCTTGTACAAGAACAAAGGGGATCGCAGTGAGTGCAATAACTATCGTGGAATATCCCTCCTAAGCACTGTTGGGAAGACGTTTGCCCGTGTGATCCTGAGCAGACTGCAAACGCTTGCAGCCCGTGTGTACCCAGAATCGCAGTGTGGTTTTCGGGCTGGAAGATCAACAATCTAAATGATATTCTCCATTCGACAACTGCAGGAGAAAAGTCGGGAGCAGAGACAGCCACCGTACATTGCCTTCATCGATCTTACAAAGGCCTTTGACCTAGTCAGCAGAAAGATCCTCTTCAATCTGCTACAGAAGATAGGATGTCCACCTACACTGCTAAGGTTGATTGTATCCTTCCATGACGATATGCAGGGCACCATCCAGTATGACGGCTCTACATCAGCCCCCTTCCCAATCAAGAACGGAGTGAAGCAGGGATGTGTGCTTGCTCCCACGCTCTTTGGGATCTTCTTCTCTGTGCTGCTATCACACGCTTTCAGGTCATCTCAAGACGGCGTGTACATACACACACGAAGCGATGGAAAACTGTTTAATCTTGCACGACTTCGGGCGAAGACGAAAGTGAGGAGCATCCTGATTAGAGAGATGCTATTTGCAGATGATGCGGCTTTGGCATCCCAGTCTGAGGAAGCTCTACAGAGGCTGATTAACTGTTTTTCAGAAGCATGTGAAGACTTTGGCCTGACCATCAGCCTAAAGAAAACAAACATCATGGGCCAGGATGTACGCAGCGTTCCCGATATCTCCATTGGAAACTACACCCTCCAAGTGGTTGAAAACTTCACCTACCTCGGCACCGTGATATCCAGCAGCCTCTCCCTCGATCCCGAGCTCAACGTACGTATTGGCAAGGCAGCAACCATGATGGCTAGACTTTCAAAGCGTGCCTGGAAGAACACTTTACTGACTACCAACACAAAAATGAAGATCTACCAGGCCTGTGTGCTCAGCACTCTCCTGTATGGCAGTGAGTCGTGGACCCTGTATGCACGTCAGGAGCGCCGTTTGAACGTTTTCCATCTCCGCTGCTTGAGGCGAATCCTAGGCATCAAATGGCAGGACCACATTCCAAACAAGGATGTCCTCAAGAAAGGAGGCATGATGACCATCTATGCTCTTCTATCACAACGACGACTGAGATGGCTTGGTCATGTCAGCCGAATGGAAGACGGCCGCATTCCAAAAGACATAATGTATGGAAAGTTAGCGACCGGGACCAGGGCTGTTGGAAGACCTGTCCTTCGCTTCAAGGATGTGTGCAAGAGGGATATGAAGGCCAGTGAAATCAACCCTACAAACTGGGAAGCATATGCCTTAGACCGTCCTGAATGGAGACGCGTTGTTAAGACGGGTGTACAGAGGAGTGAGCAGAGGAGAGTAGAACAGTGGGAGGAAAAAAGACAACAACAAAAACAACAAAGACAACAGCTAGCTACGGCTCCAACAGCACAGCCACAAATGACTTTTATCTGCAGCAACTGCAACAGGACCTGTCTCTCTAGGATTGGACTGTTCAGTCACAGCAGGAGCTGCACACCAAGAAACTGACAACTATATAGCGCAATATTCTATTGTCTTTCGAGACAGACAGATGCCGAAGATTCATAATAACATTCTCAACAAAAATGATTGAATAGATTTTATTTTCAAATTCAATTCTTGTCTACTGAGTAAAAGTATACACTAAAGTTTCTATAGAGAGGATTATTTAGTAAAGGTAATTTATTTTTAAATTCCTTATGTATTCTTTATAGGGCTTCCAACCTGTTTGCATTAATGAGTCCTACTCCTACTTACACTAAAATTTATAATACCAATAGATATGCATTTGCTATTAATGTATTAAAGGTATTCATAACTCTGGATTTCATATGCACAAGACCCTTAAGTCAGAAGGTTTTATGCTATGGTTCAGTGAGGTAAATTCTAGCATTTATTAAAATTGGTTCTTTAAAAAAAATGACTTATTTTGTTACTATCAATTAAACTTGTGAAAGGTTAGATATTGATTATTGATCAAAACAATGTCAATCTTTCAAACATTTGAATTTCAACTGAATCAGTACATGTGTAGTTTGCTTTATTCCATGTTTCATAACTGTTCCAAAGGGTGATTGGAGAAAAAAAATATATAAACTGGTTTATACATGTGAACCATATAACTATTACTGCTGTTTCTGTCATTCAATGACCCTCCATGACATTCTCATTAGGACACACATACCTGTATGGATGATGCCTTTGCTTTCAATGCAGAGTAGGTCTCCTCATTGAGAATCCCTCCAAGTGTCAGGTTAGTCAGGATGGGCATAGAACACAGTGCTTCTACTAGGAGATGTAATGAGGCTGGTGTGTGACAACGGAGATCATCAAGCTTGACAGTCCGGACCTGCATTGTTTGTCAATATATTTAAGCATCAAGTCTATACATGCATATCTGTCTGTATAATTCTTACATTTTATACTGTGAGGATCTTATTCAAATTAGGTAGTTCTTTGTGAGCCCATGTAAGTTATGCGAGGATCATATGCAAATTAGATGTTCTTTTGTGAGCCCACTTATGAACAGGTGCTTAATGTAGATTTCCACTTCACTAGATGAATAGCTAAGTGTATTCAAGTGTACACAATATCTAGGTTCTGTCAGGTGTATAGAATTGCAGACTCTTTGTATGACACATTTTCATTTGTGTGTGCTAGTAAAAATGCACATGCAGACTGCTCACTTGGATAATTGATCTTGAAGAGAGAGCTAGTCTGTGTTACAGTTTTGGGGGGTATTTCCAAGGAAAGGAACCGGCATGGTGTGGTGCCATGCAACCCAGTGCATGATGAGACTTTTCTTCCCTCTTCTCAATGCCGAATTGTAAGTACATTTTTATACATCATTGTTATGGTCATTTAGAGAGGATAATGTGAAGTTGTTTTATTACCGAATGATATGTATTTTGTTTGGCTGAGTCCTTTAAAATATGGACATTTAAAGAGGATAGATATGAAGCTGTTTTATATCCGAATGATATGTATTTTGTGTGTGGCTGAGTCCTTTAAAATATGGACACTTTTGCTAATGTTGGAAACCGATGTAATACAAGTGGTATTGTGCATTTTCGTGTTAATTTTAGGACCTATGCTATTAAGATTCCGGTCTTTTATTAATTTAGATGGCGGTCAACGTACGGGTCAACCTCGGACTACGTATACTCGAGCAACCTCGGCTAGGACAGAGTCGGGTGTTTCAAGGTCATTCAAGGGTTATCTTCAACCAGATCAACGGGGCGCATCTCTAGCTTTCTACTCTTCAAGGCAATCACTCACCGTCGCTACTGGTCAACACACGTTCGTCGTTGCAGTCGTCGCATATAGTTTCATCGAAGTATCAACGTTAAATGAACTCAGAGAAGACAAACATTTATTTAAGCTTCATTGAATGCCAGTATCCTATTTACAGATAATTATTATTTTGTAAACGACAATAATATGATGTGTTCTATTTGAGCAAGGATATTTGTAATATCCTCCTTGATTTGAGTTACATTAAATGTTTCATTCAACCTATATTTCTGGAATCCTTTGGTAGTATTATTCAGGGTGGTTAAGTAGCCTATTCTAGATTAGTGAGCTAATACAAGCGAGCTATCGCACGTGACAAATACAAATACAAATTCCTCAAATTACATAGTTGTATTCATAATAACATTCTCAACAAAACGATTGAATAGATTGTATTTTCTAATTCAATTCTTGTCTATTGAGAAAAAGAACACACTAAGGTTTCTATTGAAAGGATTATTTAGTAAAGGCAATTTTTTTAAAAATTCCTTATGTATTCTTTATAGGGCTTCCAACCTGTTTGCATGGATAAGTCCTACTCCTACTTACACTGAAATTCATAATACCATACCAATACATATATCATCGGCCTTATGCCAAAAGGGCCTTAACCCGATTTTGGGGGTTATTGAGTTATTAATATCACCTTGTAGATTTCATCATTCTCTTTAAAATGATGTGCTTCACTTGTTGAAATTCGATTTATTTATGAAGATAATTATGAATTTCAAAAGGGCCTTAACGCGTATCTCATCTTTTTCCTTACGCCAAAAGGGCCTTAACCTACACGGATGATCCATTTGCGTTAGGAGGGCCTTTCTGGCAAACCAAAGGTGTTGCGAAACAAGAAAATTTCCTTATGCCAAAAGGGTGCTAACTATGCGCGCGTACACGCGCATAGTTACGCGCATAGTTACGCGTACGATAACCGCAGGTTAAGGCACTTTTGGCATAAAGCCGCGTAGGTTACGCCCCTTTTGGCATAATGCCGAGTAGGTTACGGCCCTTCTGGCATAACATATACGCTGACATACGCTACATTCAAGCCTTATGCCAAAAAGGCCCTAACATGTTTTTTGCACATAGCATGTACAATTCTGAATATTTTATAACAAATTTAACACATTTCATGTAAAACTTAATAACTTAACACATTTATCGAAATTGGCTTCAAAAGCAAAAAAACGACCACAAACTTTTGATTATTAGAGAGGCCAAAACCTTTAAACGCGATTATCTCGGAATGGCCAAAAGCAGTTAAGGCCCTTTTGGCATAAGGCCGACGATATATTTGCTGTTAATGTATTGAAGGTATTCATGAATCTGGATTTCATATGCACAAGATCCCTAAGTCAAAAGGTTTGTTGCTATGGTTCATTTAGGTAAATTCAAGCCTCTATAAAAAATGGCTCTTAAAAAACTATATGGCATATTTTTACTATCAATCAAACTTGGAAATGGTTGAATTTTTATTATTAGTCAAATCAATGTCAATCTTAGACACACTTGAATTTCAACTAAATCAGTACATGTGTAGTTTGCTTTATTCCATGTTTCATGACTGTTCCAAAGGGTGATTGGAGAAGGGAAAAAAAACACAAACTGGTGTATACATGCATGTGCACAATGTAACTATTACTGCTGTTTCTGTTGATCAATGAACCTCCATGACATTTACATTAGGACACACATACCTGTATGGATGATGCCTTTGCTTCCAATGCAAAGAAGAACTCCTTATGGAGAACCCCTCCAAGTGTCAAATCAGTCAGGATGGGCATAGAACACAGCGCTTCTAGGAGATGTGATGAGGCTGGTGTGTGACAACG